GCAAAATCTCATTTAGAGCAAAAAATCCATGCGAATAGTGTTCTACATTCTCTACAGCCTCAAATACCATGGTAACATGGGTCAGTGGAACAGTTGATGTGATGATGTGATGATGAAGTCAAGTTGTTTTTACTGCTCTATTCACCACCAGTTCCCTCTTTTCATTCACAAAATAGTCCCACTTACAGTCTGCACTTTCTTTAAGATTGGGACAAAAAAAGCCAAATTTTATAAAAATTTTGGTAGAAAAATCTAGTGGTGAAAAGGAGGATTCTAGCATACATTTCTGGATCAGGTCCGATTGTCAAAATCACCAAAACAGCATGTTTGTCTGATTCATAGAGTCTACATAATTGGTGATTTACAAAAGAAATTGTTTTGCTGAAAATGATTTTGGAAAATGTGGGAAAGTTAATTAAGCATAATACAAAAGGAGTTGTGTCTGCTATTATGTTTATTGTACATAGGAACAAAGTCATTTTTTAAAGTTTGTGGGTTTTTTTTTCGATGATGCAAAGCAGAGTGAACACAAGGTACTGAGAAGTTTCAGAATTTAAATCTGGTAATACCTCATACTGTAGTATTCTCAGGTACCAATCCTTCCTAGTTTTGATATAATTCTTCACTTGTGCAGGTTTGTCTGCTTCAGATGCCTATTAATATAAGACAGCAGATTGTTAATGAAGACAACAATAAGACATGGTAAATAAAAAAACTACAGTAATTATCATTATTGGCATGGTCATAAAAAGAATTTTAAAACAACCAACTGCCCTATATAATGAGTATTTTAGGTAATCCCCTCAGATTCTTGTAGCTTTTATTGAGGATTCCATGCTTTCCTCAATCCTTGCAAGCATTGAAACAGGGTAAACTATACATAGTCACTTTTTAGGAAAACATGTTCTATTAGCGAAAACTATTGTAGCAATAAACAATATCATTTCGACTGAAGGTCAATTCTGCTGTCATTCTGGATTAGACGATAGTGGCATACTGTGTCAATGTGTGCTTTTAAAGACCAGTGTATTACCACAAATATCCATGCTCATAGGGACATAGCAAGTCATTTTAGCTATAGTTATTTGGATTTACTTGTTTTCACTAAATAGGAAAATATTACTTACATCATTCATAATCGGTATGCTACCTGACGCAGAAAGGTATGTCCAATCAGATTGACTAATGAAGCCACGGAATAAACATTTACAAAAATTACCTGTACTATATTATTTTGATGAGTAATTAATTATTATTATAGTTAATCCGTGTCCACAGAAAACTTGATTGTTTTAATTTCTCAAATTCTTCTATACCTTCTGAATTTTCAGAAATATACAATCTTTTATTTCAAAAATTAGGATGGAACCTCAAATTTGTTTTTCTCTCAGATTTTTTGTTTTAAAAGAAGCACCCATCCTCACAGTAAGTTTATATTATTGGTGTTGATGCTGGAAAGTAACTAGGTAATGACCTGTTGGGATGCGGTGAGATCCTCATCACTCTCATCATCTCCTACGAGTATACTCTCACCAAAGTCATCTCCATCATCAGAATCGCTAAAAAACAGAACACAATGAATAAAGTATTCAATAACAAGGAATGATAGAACAACCGACTGAATCAAGAATTTGACATTTTCCATTGGTAATCCATTTTGAGTTTTCATTGTTTTTGAATAGTGCCAGAGTAGACTCAGAAGCATACACAAATTTGGCATATAAACTTGCGTATACAAAAAGTAAATAATAAAAATGGCTTAATTTTCACGACTAGGAACTTCCACAATTTGATGATTTAATGTGGTTCATGATGAAAACCTTTGATGAAAGTCACTTTGGCTCAGCATTTTTAGGAACCCAGTGAAATGTTCACTCCTACAAAATTTGGTGAATCAATCAATAAACGACGTCATAACAAAGCTAGTCTTTGATAAATCTATCACGACCATACCTGTTTTGAGATGAATTCATATTATCCAGCTCTTTATCTGTATCCGATTCGTCCACTGGTTCATCTATTTGGTCAACAATTTTGGCTTTTACAATATTTTCATTTGTTACTGACGTACTGGGATTGGTGGGCAGCACTGCTTTTTGGTACAACTTTCCTGAAATGAGTATCCAATTATTTAATTTTTGGACATAGAGAACACAATAATGGAGAAGATTAGCGACACAAATATTCTCAGATTTTAGACTAACAATATGTTCGGTTTCCAGAAAATATTTCGTCCAGTGAAATACTGTAATACTATAAAGAACTTTATTTACACTTGGAATTTATTTTTGTTATTTTCACTAAAGAGATGAATCATTTTTACATTCAACCCGTCAAAAATCAGTGAAAACAAGCCATGTATGGCACATTCCCAGTTAATTATCAAAATTAAGATATATAGTTTTGTTTATAGTAATATAATATGAACATCGACATATGAATATGAATCCATCAGCTGATGCATGATTATGATGATTTTTTAACATTAACCTTTTCACCACCAGACTTTTTTCACAAATTTTTCTCAACTTTTTTCTTATATTCTTCAATATTTATGGAAATGAACCTGAATTTTGGAGCCAACAAACAAAATTTGAGTCAATTTTCAATTTTTACCCAAAAAATTTGACTAATTTTGTCCCAATCTTCTTAAGGAAAGTGCAGACTATAAATAGGACTATTTTGTGATGAAAAGAGGGAACTGGTGGTTAAATAGTTGAAATGATTTACATTCAGTCATCTTGTATCTGTCGGCTGAAATAGCTCCGCTGTTAGCAATGCACATTTCAATTAAAGAACTGAAGATATCATTAGAAAATGAACAATATGTATAGTATCAAAGCAATCTTACTTGCTGTTTTCAACAAGAATTCAAAAATATCACTTTTCACCAAAAATATTCATCAAAATTAGATAATTGAAGATATCACCATGAAATGAACAAATCTGAGAGGTCCACATGTAGTACCTATATATGTAATATCAAAGCAATTGGACTTGTGGTTTTCAACAAGAAGTTGAGAATATCACTTTTTACCAAAAATTACAAAAATATTCATCAAAATTAGAGAATTGAAGATATCATCATGAAATGAACAAATCTAAGAGACAGCTAAAAAATCAGCCATTTTGCATCGGATGGTCAAACCAATACATCTGTATATCTATGACATGATGTATAATGAATATATAAAATTTGAACATAATTAGTCAAAGCATGTCAGAGATATGGCTCTAGAACCACTTTCATTACAACAAAATGGCCGCCAGTCAGTCATTTTGAATCCGATCTGAAAAAACAAAATGACATGCACCAGACACCAATAATGTATGTACCAAGTTTGAACAAAATCTATCCATAAACGAGATCAGCAGAAAAATGGACACATTTTGGCCATCTTGAATCAGATCTTGAAACAAGTTAATGTGCATAAGTATAATAATATGTACGATGTATGTATGATTTTTGAATGTAAATCAGTCCAGGCATGTCTAAGATACAGGTGAATGAATGCAGACTGCAGGACATCTAATTTACTACATTGTACCTTGATGAGTGAAGTCATAGATGTTCTTCAGTAAAATCACTGCTTTCTTTCTTGGCAGTGGTCTAACACCAAACTTATGCAACTCTCCCTGCAATAAAATGATGATCCGTGTTTTAAATCATTTTTTTTACAACCAGAAAGCAACAATTTTAAATCTTTGATTTTTGAAAAAAAGATGAAGTACATTCAGCACCACAGTATTTACAAGATGTCCACTGATCACCACCATCTTACTTTCAACAAAGGTGTATTCATGTCATAATACATCGGCATTGGTGTTACTGGACCACCAGGCGTCTCTATACATGCATTAGGCGTAGATGATCCTGAAAAAGCAGATTCCAATCTTGGCACAGCAGAAGAGGGAGTAGCAACTTCTGATAATGTTATGTTTGGTTGTTTGGGACTTCTCTCCTCACCTGAAATAGATAGAAAACTACAGTGAGTGCAGTATCCTGTGTTTAAAAAGCATGATGAGAAAAAACGTTTTGTGAGAAATGTTCACTTTTTTTACAGACTACATACATTTATTTGATGATTGAAGGAATGTTTTTTTCTGATTTTCAAGCATTATTTTCAGCTGCAAATAGTGACTCCTGTACAGACTGGTAAATTGACCTTAAAAAAGAAGGCTCAAAACACTGACTCCTTTTGGCAGCACACTATATACTATTTTATTGATAGTAATTAACCACTCCTCTACCCCTACTCCATCATAATAGTAATTAACCATTCCTCCACCCCTACTATATCATAATAGTAATTAACCAACCCCTCCACCCTTCCCCCATCATAATAGCAATTAACCACCCTTCCACCCCTACCCAATCATGATAGTACATGTAATTAACCAACCCCTCCCCCATCATGATAGCAATTAACCAACCCCTCTATCCCTACCCAATCATGATAGCAATTAACCAACCCCTCCACCCCTACCCCATCATGATAGTAATTAACCACTCCTCCACCCCTACCCCATCACTCATGTAGATTCTCCATCATATATGCAATAATACCATGAAATGTATCAATCTGATATGTCCTACTTTAAGAAGATATGTGGGTTGCATATATGTGGGTTGTATACACATTAAATAAGTGACAGACAATGTTTTGTGCATTTCAGCACATTAAGTAAGTGACAGACGATGTTTTGTCCATTTCAGCACATTAAGTAAGTGATAGACAATGTTTTGTCCATTTCAGCACATTAAGTAAGTGACAGACAATGTTTTATCCATTTCAGCACATTAAGTAAGTGACAGATGATGTTTTGTCCATTTCAGCACATTAAGTAAGTGACAGACAATGTTTTGTCCATTTCAGCACATTAAGTAAGTGATAGACAATGTTTTGTCCATTTCAGCACATTAAGTGACAGACAATGTTTTGTCCATTTCAGCACATTAAGTGACAGACAATGTTTTGTCCATTTCAGCACATTAAGTAAGTGATAGACAATGTTTTTTCCATTTCAGCACATTAAGTGATAGACAATGTTTTGTCCATTTCAGCACATTAAGTAAGTGACAGACAATGTTTTGTCCATTTCAGCACATTAAGTAAGTGACAGACAATGTTTTGTCCATTTCAGCACATTAAGTAAGTGACAGACAATGTTTTGTCCATTTCAGCACATTAAGTAAGTGATAGACAATTTTTTGTCCATTTCAGCACATTAAGTAAGTGATAGACAATGTTTTGTCCATTTCAGCACATTAAGTAAGTGATAGACAATGTTTTGTCCATTTCAGCACATTAAGTAAGTGACAGACAATGTTTTGTCCATTTCAGCACATTAAGTGACAGATGTTTTGTCCATTTCAGCACATTAAGTAAGTGATAGACAATGTTTTATCCATTTCAGCACATTAAGTAAGTGACAGATGATGTTTTGTCCATTTCAGCACATTAAGTAAGTGATAGACAATGTTTTGTCCATTTCAGCACATTAAGTGATAGACAATGTTTTATCCATTTCAGCACATTAAGTAAGTGATAGACAATGTTTTGTCCATTTCAGCACATTAAGTAAGTGATAGACAATTTTTTGTCCATTTCAGCACATTAAGTAAGTGATAGACAATTTTTTTTCCATTTCAGCACATTAAGTAAGTGATAGACAATGTTTTGTCCATTTCAGCACATTAAGTAAGTGATAGACAATGTTTTATCCATTTCAGCACATTAAGTAAGTGACAGATGATGTTTTGTCCATTTCAGCACATTAAGTAAGTGACAGACAATGTTTTGTCCATTTCAGCACATTAAGTAAGTGATAGACAATGTTTTGTCCATTTCAGCACATTACGTGACAGACAATGTTTTGTCCATTTCAGCACATTAAGTGACAGACAATGTTTTGTCCATTTCAGCACATTAAGTAAGTGATAGACAATGTTTTGTCCATTTCAGCACA